TTGGTCTTCTGTCTTTTTGTTTCTACTGGCAACATTAGTTTCACCGTCTTTTTATCTTCAACCAAATCTGCCAACATGGAATGTTGGTTATTATTATTCTGGCGATTATTATTATTTACCCTTGTTGTGTTTCCATTACTATTATTGTTGTTATTGTTGTTATTGTTGTTGCCTTGGTTATTACTTCCTCCATTATTTCCATTATTATTTTGGGGACAGTTCATACTATAATGTCCTGGTTCTCTGCTTACCACTATTATTAGTATTGTTATTATTGTTGTTGTTGTTATTATTATTACTATTCTGAGTTGTGGGCAGTTCCATTTAACATGCCCAGGTTGATTACAGTGGAAACATTTGATCGGTGGACGACTTCCATTATTTTGTATTCTAGGTCTTTGTTCTTGTTGGGAATTTTTATTCCCTTGCATTAACCCAGCCAATTGTTTGATCAATGTTTCTAGTACCTGATCTCCTCCTCCTATATTCATTCCTGGAATGAAAGGTGTTACTTGTTGTGCTGAGTAAGCAGACAAACTTCCTCCTCTTGAGTAAGTCATTTCGTAAGCCTTGGCTCTGTCAATTGCATCTTGCATTGTATCAGGTAAGAAAGGACTGACAGCTATTGACAGCTCTGGCCGTAGCCTTTCCATAAACATTCTAGCTTTTATTCTGTCTGGATAATTATTTCCACTGTGTTCTATTCTTCTGAATAGTTCATAAATTGCTGCCACAAAGGTATCAACAGTTTCTCCTGGTAGTTGTCGCCGCTTTTCTAGTTCTGCAGCCCATCCTTCTTCCATAGCCCTAGTCCTATACCTTCTTTGGAAGCTCGGAACAAAACTTGCTGCTATTGTGCCAACATCAGTTTGATCATTCCATCTATTTATACCAGCTCGCACTTGATTCCACTATGTTGCCGCTTCTGCTTTTAGTCTTGGTACTGCTACTGGTACTTTCCTATCATCTGCCACTCTATTAGTAATAAAAGCTTGCTCCATCTCTTCTAGCCATGTTATTGGATCTTGATCCCCTCCATAATATTCAGGATACTTTACATTATTTAATTCAGTTGCAGCTTGTTGTGGTGGCACTATTGCATGTACCGCAGCTGCCAGATTCTGTAAGTCTTGCTGATTCATTGGATTCAATTGTTGAAGTTGTTGATGTAGTTGTAGATTGAAAAGTTGGTCGAGACCTAGTGTTGATTCACTATCTGAATCACTTTCTATTGTTGAATGACTTTCTTCTGAATAATTACTCTCAGTATCACTTGGATTATTGTTATCTAGGTTATTGTTGTCTTCCTCACTTGTTTGTTCCGTAGAACTTGGAATAACTTCTTCAGGTGCTAATGTAAATTGGTTTGTTCTTGCTGCTGTTGCTAAATAGTCCCTATATAATTGATTGAAGTCTTCAGGGTATTCTCGATATCTAATACTAATCAGTAAAGCTTGTGCTAACCGTTGAACGTGTTGTCCGTTATGTTCTTCTAATAAGCTTAGAAAAGTTACTACTGTATTGGCTGTGCAATCTCTCGCTCCGTAGTTGTCAACTATCCAATTCCAAAAGATTAAAAATTCTGATGGAAGACCCTGTCGTAATGGATAACAATCAGCACAGGATAAATCCCGTATAGAAATTAAATGTGGGTGCCTTCGATGTAATCTTTCGTGCTCTAAAGTATTTGTTCTAATTATATTAAAGTTCATCCACTAATCCTCGTAAGGATCAAAATCGTATGGTGTTTCGTCTGGAATGTCTTCAAAAGGAACCTCTGGTTGATCAATAATTCTTCTTTGTTTAATTACTTTTGGACAGTCCTCTTCCCAATGTCCTTTGTTCTTGCAGATCTTGCACGAGGGTTTCTTTTGGAAAATAAATTCTATTTCCTCTTCTTCTGTTAATCCTTGAAGTTGGCAATGTCTTTTAAGATGTCCTATCTGGCCACAAGAGTAACACTTCTTATTTGTATATTGAGTGTTGTTAGGTCCCAAAGGTTGATAGTGTAATTTGAATAGCTGAGAATTTCCGTAGAAATATTGGAATACTAGGTCAATTAATTGTTTATCCTGGATTTCTCCTTTCAAAACTTTGTTGTAAACACAGTCAAAGATTTCTGCTTTAATTATTTCTGGATGGTTTTTCTTCAATTGCATTTAATAATAGTAGAAAATAAAAAGTGTGAAAAATAACCTCGTAAGGTAAAAAGAAATTAAAAGGAATAACAAAAAAAAAGTAGAATAAAATAATTATAAAATCAAAAATTTAAAATAAAGAAATCAATAAAAGGATTTCAAATGTTCAAAATGAAAAGTTTAAAAAGTATGCAATTAGAAAATTCCGTAGAATGTTGATTGTATTTTTATCAAATTACTGGTGTAAAAATCCACACAACTCGCACTAAAGACTAGTGCCGTAATCCAAAAGAGGAAAAGGATGGTTGCAAAAGTGGTCGCAAAGGTAATTGCAACCACTTTTTATATGCCGTAAATACAATTACTACCATC